ATAAGCAAACCCCTGACACAGAGTGAGCCTTGAATAAATGCTAATCATTCTCTCTCCTCCAAAAAGTCCACTGCCATTTGCTCCTGTTAAATAACTAAAGTGGCTCTTTGAAGGTCAGATGGGTGCAGGTCGAGATGTGGGCAAGTCCCCAGGAATATTTTTAAATTTGCCCATCTGTGATGCAGATATAAAACCTTGCACGCTTATGGGAATGGATGAAGACCACAACCGCACGTCATAAATATGAGAGCTCTATTTCAGAATTGTTAACCACAGCTCATGCCATCTCCCCTCTTTCAGATGTCTGCACGTGGCTTTCTTGCCAAGAAGAGAAGAAGCCACGTTCCGGTGGAAATCAGGCCTCTAATCCAAGCATATTGCTTGCTCTTACTTGCCAAAACAGGACTGCTAATGAGGACTGTATTTGCATATGTGTGCAAAAGCTGAATCATTGATAATGTACCTTGAAACTCTCTTTGGCCACTCCCAGCTAGAGAGCAAAGAGTGTGAAAAGTAGTCCGGTTTTTGAAACTTAGTTATTTCATATTGTTCCCCCTGAGAACTTTTTTAGCGAAATGGATTTGCCATCCTCCTTAATTTGCAGGACTGCCTTGGTGGCTTTGTTTGCTGAGACAAGGCCCACGATCTGTGCCTCTCCCACTGACCCTCACTTTGAATTCAAAGAATCTATTTAAGAATCTAATATATGAGACTTTCTTTGATTTCTCCTCAGTTCTACTCAGTTTAACAGAGATAAAGAAATTATTTGAATAAACTGAACAGAGGCTCATTTGTCGGTACCCTTCTTTCATGAGTTAGGTTGTTTTGCTCTATATTGGAATTCTCTGTGAACTGGTGTTGAGCAGAAGCGAGAGGAGAGCTCTCTGTAGAGACAGCTGAACCCCCACGTCTGGGGTCCCCAGGGCCACTCTCAGGTTTGGCGATTCGTTAGGGCCCAGAACATGAGTGTCACCTGCTAGTGTGGGGCCTTGCTTCAGTGATAATGGAAATTAGAACTGAAGCCACAGCTCACCCTCACAGGCAAAGCTTTAATTGAAAAGTAAGAGAGGCTGAAGATGACACACCTCTGACAAGGTCAGGCTGGTCCCTCGACAAAGGAGAGAGACCGGTTTTCTGGAGCATGAAGGCGGCCTAGCGTCCGATTGATCATTATGTCCGTTCCAGTTTTGCAGAAGGCCCTAGCAGCTTCAGGGGACATCTGGTTCCCAAGAGGCCATTGCTCCTGCTTTGGAAGAGGGCAAGCTCAGTGTTTCAGAGGCTCAGCTAGAATGGCAGGTGCCTGCTGTTTTAGGGAAGGTGACTGGAGGCTTGCAGGTACCGAGGGGTAAAAACTGTAGTAGTCGAATGTTTGTAAGCGTTTTAACTTGGTGTCCTTAGTCTTGAAGTAGGATGAGATAGGATATCCAAAGCTAGGGCTAATAAACCTTATTTTATGTTTTTAGGCAGATGTTCCTTAAGTAACATGGCCAAACAGGGATCTTACCCAAAGCTTTAAGAATAAAAATGAACTCACAAGCACAAGGTCCTGAGTTTGATCCCCAGTACCAGTAAATACATAAATAAAATGAAGGTAGTGATGTCAAGCTTTATCCAGTATAAGTTACCCCTTAGGCACCTGTAGAGCCAAGTGAAGAGTAAATGGATTTTCTTTTTTTCAAAAGCAGCTCTGTTGCTGGGACAGAATACCTGAAACCCATAATTTAAAGGTGGAGAGGTTTCTTTTGGCTCACAGTTTTTAGAGGATTCAGTCCATAGTCAGCCGGCTACAAGGCAGGAAGGGCATGTCGGGAGGGTCTGGCGGAGGAGAGCCGCTCAAGTCATCGCAGCCAGGAAGTAGAGAGAGTGGGGAGGAGCTGGGGAGGAGATAGACCCTTCTAGGTGACACCTCCCTAGTGACCTCCTCTTCCAAACAGGCACATTTGGCTGTGAAGCCACCAGTGGATCAATCCACTGATGAGTCAGGTGCCCCTGTGATCTAGTCACCTTCCTACAGCCCAGTGTCTGAACACGTGAGCCTTTGGTAGATAGGCTAGATCTAAACCATAACAAGCTCCGATTCCCAGACAGCCTTGTAGGTTAACACAAATCCTGCTTTTAGTGAGCAACAGGTTAAGGACCCGGGAGTTTGTTTGTCCCCTGTCCCTCTGCAGTGATCCCAAGAGTTTTATTTTTTCATCTAGTTTAGTCAGTGCCCTAGATGGCCAGGGCATCCTTACTTTCATTTCATTATGTACCCTTTTTTTTGTTTGCTTGTTTGTTTGTTTTGTAGTACTGGGGATTGAACCCAGGGCCGATATACTCAGCTATATCCTCAGCCCTTTTTTATTTTTTTGAGACAGGGTCTCAGTCACTAAATTGCCCAGGTTAGGCTTGAATTTGTAAGCCTCCTGCCTCAGCCTCCCAGAGTGCTGGGATGGCCATCATACCCAGCTGAGGCGCCTGGTTTTCGAGGTCGGTAACTGTTTGAGTGAGGGAAGGCATGGGCAGGGAAGACCACATTGTGTTACTCATTGGGAACAGGTCCCGAGCTAAGGCTCAGGACCTTAAGTTAAGGCTTAAGGCTGACCTTGTCTTCATCGTTGTCTCTGAAGCATCTCAAGAGGAGCTGTTAGGGTTATGGTTACAGCGTGTTCTGTGGAGGGATAGGAATCAAAACTGGCAGAGGAGAAGGCCACACGGAGCGGAGCCCCTGGTTCATCTTCCAGTGGAGTCTTACAGGCTCCATGCTTAGTCCTCCCTGCTAGAGTGCTCATGACAATGCACGAGTCTTTGGGGAAATGGCGACAACAGCTCGGGTTTTGGAGCCATTCTGACCTTACCAGCTGGGTGGCCTGAGCCTCTGTGTCTTCATTTGTAAAGTGGGTGCTTAAACATCCTGGATTTAATGGGGACGGCCAACAGGCAACACTGGGAGGTGCCTGGGATGTGCTGAGCCCCAGGCAGGACAGCTCTTGTCAGCCCTTGTGAGACTGCAGTGGGCTGAGAATCAGACTTTTCAGGGTGTGAGCCCCTCTCTGTTCACTCTGCAATTATTTGTCAGTCTCCTGCTCAGTTGACCAAGTGTGGCACTTACCCCTGTGAGGATCTGGTGACTGTTGTGCTTCTCACTACCCTGCCCTCCAGATTTATGACTGGTTCCAGGAGCTTTTGCGAGAAGCCTTTGCATGAAGACAATGAATGTTCACAGAACTGCCTGGGAGAATAGTAAAAACAAAAACAAGAAGTCTGAGGGGAGAAAGGAATAGATTGTTTCTAAACCCCATGCAGTGGAATTGGGTCTTCTGAAAAACAAAAACAAACGTCAGAGTCCACCCTCATCTCCTCTTTCCTGGTTCCATCTGCAAAGAGTTTTGATTAAGAGCACTACATGAATACATTGTCAAATATTAAGTGCTTGAATTCATTGTAGGAATGCAGGAGGTTCCCTGTGTTTATCCTCCAGACATTTCCTCCCTCCCCTAGTGCTTCCAGACTTCCAGACTTTTCCTAAAGTGTCCATACATAAAAATATCCCCCACAGAGCCTTCCATCTCCATGGTTCCTGCATTTGCAGATTCAACTGAGATGTTTAAAACTCTGAAAAAAAAATGCATCTTTATTGAACATGTGGATTTTTTTCCTTGTCCTTTGATAATTCCTAAATAATACAGTGTGACTTTACATAGAGTTTCTATTATATTAGGTATTACCAATCATCTAGAGATGATTTAAAATATTCAGGAGGATATGTGTAGGTTCTATGCAAATACTACACCATTTTCTGTAAGAGACTTGAGCATCTGCCAGTTTTGTTAATCCAGGGTGGTCCTGGAGCCAGTTCCCCCACCAGCACCGAGAGGTGACTTCATATTTAAATCTGATCTAGGGCTGGGGACGTGGCTCAGTGGTAAAGTTCTCGCCTAGCACACGTGAGACCCTAGGTTTGATCCCCAGTGTAGGGGAAATACATATAGTCTTGAAGATTCATTTAAAAAAATACCACTGATAGGTTATCCTAAAATGTACTTTAGTCTACGGCCATACCACCCTGAACACACCCGATCTCATCTAAAATGTACTTTAACAAGTTGCGCTGTGGTGGTTTCCATGTGAACACATGCTGAGGAGTCAAGCTCACCTCGACCACACTGAAACCAGAATCTTCTAGAGCCTTCCTTGGGAATTCCTTGGGGCAGTAAATTAACCATCACTTTCCCCTGGCCCCTCCATGATCCGGCTTGGGCAACATGCATCACCTCTTCTGTTTCTTTAATTGCCAGAGATGAAAACATTTTACTTTGTCCTTCACTTGGGTGCTGTCATTATACCTAATCAGCTTTGCAGTCAGAGAAAACGAGGGTCACAGCCCGGCTGCATCAGTCGCTAACTGTGCAACCACGGGCAAACAAATTCACTCTTCTAAACTTCAGCTTTCCTTTTTTGTAAAACAGGGATAAATAGATACAAAGAAATTTACTGATCTCATGAAATAGTTTGGAAAGCAGTGAGATTCGCAAACACATGATCCAACCGAGTAAAACAAAGTTAGGAAGGCTCAGAGCCCCCACACGGGAGCCTTGATAAATGGTGACTATGATTATAGCTTTACTATGCTGAAGGAAGGGATGGGTTGCAACAGAGCATCCATGTCACCTTATCAGGATGTACCTTTATCCTGCCAGCTAGCTAGAGTCATGGCTGGTGGCCTCAGACCTCTGCTGCACACATGCCAAACATCAGATCTCCATTCTCATTGCTAGCTGCCAACCTGCCTGAGCGGTCAACTCCTCCCCAGGTCTTAGCAATTTTCCATTTGAAAAGTCTCTCTTTAATTCTACCCCAAAAGGTAAATTACTGCCTCTCCAACGTAAGGGATGGACATTTGAGAAATGTATGCACCCGGGAAGTTCATGGTCACCACTGATTGGTGGATAGCAGACCCATCAGATTCTTTCTGAATAACCAACCAGTCCATAGCTAAATGACTGGGAGCCATTTATTGTCAAATCTCTAATTTCTGCAGGTGGAATAGAGCAAGGTAGGTGGTTCTCTATGAGATGGTGGCCAGGACTTCTATCATCCGGAGGCTTCTTCATTCACCTCTAGTGGCTGCAGAGGTTCCCCCAAAGAAGAGATGGAACCCAGCTTGCCCCACTCACAGAGTAGGTTGTGGGCTCACTCACTGGTTTCTGTCACAGAAAAAAAAAATTGCAAGCATGTCAATGAGAAGCTAGAAAGATTTTTTTTTTTTTGGTACCGGAGATCGAACTCAGGTCCTTGTGCTTGCGAGGCAGGCAGCAGAACCACTGAGCTAAATCCCCGGACCCTAGAAAGACTTCTTAGGTAGAAAGAAGTCTGCATGCAGAAGGCCGCGCAAGGGCTCCTAGTGTGAGCTTTCAAGGCGGTTCCTCCCAGTGAATCTTGCCTCCCAGTACGCTTGACTTCCGCAGGAACACTGTTCCTTCCACACTCAACAGGACAAGAGTGCCAGATTAAATACAGAATATGTTTACATATGACTGTCATATAAGACAATGAATACTTTTTTTTTTTGCCTGAAATCCCCATTTAATTGGGCATCCTAGGTTTTTATTTGCTAAATCTGGCAGGCAGAATGTAACCAATAATTCACTGCAAAAATTACCATGTGTGATTCGGAGACTGGGTAGTAAAAGACCTTGTGATTTCTTCCTTGTTGCCCCTGGGTCACTCATTCCAAAGGAAGCCAGCCACTTCATCGTTGGGACGCTCAGTGGCCCTGTTCACAGGAGGCTCGCATGGCAGGAAACCAAGGCCTGCCAGGGACCAGCACCTGCTTGGAAACAGATCATCTGGCCCTGGTCAAGCCTCCGGATGACTGCAGCACTGCGTAAACTCTGAATTAGAACTACCCAGCAAAGCCTCTCTCAAAATGCTATCCAGAGAAATTGTGCAAGATAGTTATTGCTGTTTGAAGATACTGAGTTTGGGGCTCATTTTATATGATAATGATAATATACAAGTACTTGTTAAATATTGGTTAGCGAGTGAATGAATGAAGGAATGATCTGTAACTCCTAACTGTACCTGTGTGCTGCTTTACAGACGACACCAAAGTCTGTGGAAGCTCACATCCCAGCTTTCCATACAGGGACAAAGTCTTCACAAGTTCTTAAAAGATAAAGTAGAAACCATCTGTAAGAAACATTTAGAGGGAAATCAAACTTGCTGATCCCAGCTGATCTGGATTTTCAGTTCTGCCAAGTTTAGGACACTATATATATTTTTGTAACAAACTTCAAAATAAGAATGAGCCGTGTGCAACTGCATAATGTCACTGTCCTAGAAAAAGTACATGTGCTAGACGTTAAATATATCGGCTTTGAAATGCCACTTAAGGATTGTTTCTATGGCACCAACCTACTTAAAGTTGAAACAGAGCAAGGGTCCCCCTTCTCTCCTCCCAATCTTTAGAGGAAGGGCTGGGGATCTAGCCTGGCAAGCGTAAGGTTCCGAGTTTGATCCCCGGTACCAAAAAACAAAACAAAACAAATCTTTAGAGGAAATGTGGAAACTGCTGCATGCCATAGGCTTTATAAGGAGTGGTTGGGAATGTGGAGTGGGCTGGTAAAGGAAACCACTTAGAAGTCTGGGGAATAGATGATGCATGCAGAGGGGTTTGACTGTGTGACCCTAGAAACATGAAAGCTATTCTGTAAGTATTAGCTCAACCACGTAGACAGCCATGATGTGGCGTCCGATGCACGCTGTTACAAAGAGAACACCAGCCTGAAGTCTTGAGTCCTGGGTTCTGGGCTCAGCTCTGTCCTTAAACTAACCATATGGACCTGGCCCTTCCCCTCTGCCCTGACCTCCACCTCTGCTCCCTCTCTGAAAGGACAGATAAGGACCAATGAGAGTCAGAGTGTCCTACCAGGTTCCTGACAGACTCTCCTTGCTTGGCAACCCCTTGTGGGAAGGCCACATATATAAGTACCTCGTTGAGAATCTAGACATGGGCCTGGATGTCTCCAAGGCAACAGTTTTTCTGAGAGGTGTTGGAAGAACAGGATGGATATGAGACCCTGAATCAAAACCTTTGATTTCTTTTGCTCCTTGTTTTCCACAGGTTGGGCAAACAAACCCAGAAAACCCATTGATCTCTTAGGCTAAGAGACACCCCCACAGCAGTATGACGCTGGGTTTTCACATGAAAATTGCCAAAACCTTGCACTAAGGTTTTACCGTACTAGGAGCTTTCCATGCATTAACTATCACTATTTTTTATGTGTACTGGGGGGTGTTTTGAAAACAACTCTCTTAGAGTAGTACTGTCATTATTTCCATAATACAAATGGGAAAACTGAGATACGGGAGGTGAAGCAACCTGACCCAGGTTCCCCCTCTAGGAAGCAACAAAATAAGATTATAGCCTTGAAATTTTCATTGCAGAGCGTTCACTTTAAAACACAGGCACACGCTATACGTGGAAAAACATTTTTTCTTCAATCATGAGATTAAGTTGCCTGTTTGAAGCCCTACTGCCTTCAAATATCTTGGTATTTCCAATAAACAACTACAGTCTCTGATACAACCAACAGATAACCATCAAAATCAAGAATTTAGTACAGACATGTCACGATTGTGAGTTCCCAGACATCATTTAAAATTTTCCAGCTATCTTGATAATTTGTTTTTTTATTTTTGTGGTACTGGGGCTTGAACCCAAGGATTTGTGCACGTTAAGCAAGGGCTGTAGCACTGAGCCATATCCCCATGCCTTTAGTTTTATTTTGAGACAGGGTCTTGCTAAGTTGCCTAAGGCTGACCTTGAATTTACAATCCTCCTGGCTCAGCCTCCTGAGTAGTGGGGATTATAGGCCTGCATCACTGTGCCTGGCTCCAAAAATTGTCTTTATTGCAAAAAGATCCATGGCAGAACCATGTACTTCCACTTAGCTGCTATGTCTCTGTAGTCTTCTTCAGGTGGGAGTAGTTCCAGCTCTTTGATGTTCACGACCTTGATACTTAAGGATTGTAAGCCAGTTGTGCTGTAGAACGTACCTTTAGTTAGTTTTGCTTGATAAATCCTCCTGACTAGATTCAGGTTATGCTCCTTCTGGCAGGAGCGATCTTCTCAGGGCATCCTATCAAGTTGCATCTGACTTTACTTTGTCCCCCTCCAGGCAATTCGCACCCTTAAATCATTCCACAGCAGTCTGCAAAGTTCCCTTCTACAAAAGCCACGTGGTGAGGTGCATTTGGTGCTGCAAATCCACTAGCATTAGCCCCTCATGTTCAAAGTAACTGCAGCTTCATGAAGTCTGGTAAGTCATAGCATAGTGACAGAAAAGCTAAGCTTCTTTGTACTGTATTTTTGGTTCTGAGCTGTAAACATAAGTATATATAGTTTCGGGCCCAGGCCCAAAGCACTATCTTTTCTCTTTGGTTTATTCACCCTGCTCCCTGGCAGACCTTGTACTCTATCCGACTCTCCTTTCTATCCTGGCCTTGGATTTGTTATCCTAAAAACCCCAGTCTCTAGTTACTTTCTTGAGTATGTGCTGTGTCAGGCATAAAGACTCCACATGTCACTGGGGATGTAGGCCATTAAGTCACAGTCCCTATTCCTAAAAAACCCACTGGCTTCACATACATATGTTTAATTTATAAGAATCATGGTAGGAAATATTCCAAGTACACAGCTTTGTACACAAGTACCTCTTGGATTTTTTTCATCACAAAGAGAAAGAAACATACGGAGAAAACAAGCAAAAATTACCAACACGTGCTAAGGTCACCACCCTAAGCATGCCTAAGTACACCGTCTACATCGTCCATCAAATTGTAACCTCTACCATTTTACGGAAGAGAAAACAGGTTCAGAAAGATGTAACGCTGGCTCCAATTCCTCAGCTTGTACATGGCAAAGTCAAGGTCACAACTCCAGCGCCAGTGTGCTCTTAATTTCTACGAAGAGTCCCAGGGCCACTGAAGGTTTCCCTATATGGACCAATCTCTATTTTGTTCCTTTTATCCCTCGGGCCTACCACGTAGGCACTCAGCACATTTTAATTACATCAGTAGATGAATTATTTTCCTAGCCATTGGAAAGGAAGATAATGAAAATGTTTCTTGGAGAAAACAGCCGGGAACTCTGGAGTTTTCCCACTCCTTCCTTCCTTCAGTCTCGTGCCATCCCTTGCACAAAGCTGACTTCTCTGCTCCCACACTGGTGCTTACACTGAGAGTTAGGGAACTGATCATGTTAAAGTATGCTGTGACGCCGCCTCACAGGCTGCATTCTCCTGATACATCTTGGCTCCTAAAATGACCTCATGCCCTTATCTCTGGTCCCGCCCCCCCCCACCAAGGCCACAGTGGTCCAGGAAAGTTGAAACCTGTGTCTACAGGACTGGGCCCATAAAAGCAATCTGACCTTTGATAGGTTAAAAGTCGCTCACTCTTCATAAATAAGCAATAGCCCATCCCAAAACTGATAAAAGGACCTTCCTTTCTTTGTTTTCTCTCTCTCCTTCTGCTTCTTCCTCCTCCTCTCTCTGTCTCTCTCTCTCTCTCTCTCTGCCTTCCTGCCTCCCGCTCGCCTCCCTACAATGAAGATCTCCTGCCAGACCTCTCGGTGCGTGAGTGGCCTAATTGGGAAGGGGCACCCGAAAGGGCACGCGAACCCCCTTTCAGAGAGAGCCAAAGACACTGGACACACTCTGGATTTTTGTTATTCTCATTCAAAAGCCATGTGTCAGGCTCCCTACTCTCGCCGCTATCCCTCACAACCATTTTAGCAACTAGTCCCAGATGTCCATTTCACAGATTTAGAATCTCGGCTTGGCAAAGAAGTCTCCTTAGGCCGAGGTGCCTCAGGAACTTCCCCAGTAGTCATTACAAGCTAAACACTGCAGCACAAAACAGGCGCGACACAGAAGCCGATAAAGCTGGGAAATCGCTCCCCAGCCGCTCCCCGCGGCCAAGCGCAGCCTCACAAGCGCCCTTTTCTCTTTCACTATCTCAACTGTTGGCTCCAGGACAAACCCGCCCTAGCTTTTGGCGCTACTAGGGCGACCAGCATGCCATTTCCGCTGTCCATGCGTCATTTCCGGCGCGCCAGCCCGGGAGTCTTCCGGGTCCCGTCCGCCGTTGTGGCGGTCTTCTCGTGCAGTGGGTGAAATTCTTCTCGGTTACCCTGGACCCTGTGTAGAGGTGAGTGGGGGTGGCGAGGTATCTGCGCGAGTCGGGGCGAGGGCCCAGCCGGAGTGGTTTCTATTTCGCCCACATATCTGCTGGGGTAGAAAGGAGCGGTATGGCTCGGGCTTGTTGGGACTCTCTGCCTAGGCCCAGTTAGGAACCCTTATCTGCTTGGAGGCGTAGACCGCAGGGTCGAGTGAAGTCCAAGTCCTGACTTCAAAAACAAATGGTTTCGAGCCCTTCCTGCTCTGCAACTTAGGACAATGTACTTCCTTTCCTTAGCTTTTGTTTTTCTTATCCAAGGTATGGAAATGTTAGTGGTACCCATCTCGTAGAAGTGTCTGTATTTAGCATCTACCGAGGGGACTACAATTTAGGACTACACTGGGATTCTTAGCTTGCTCTATGCCCCCAAAGGCAGCATAGTATTTAATCTTATGCATGAGGGGCTTCCTACCTCCTATGAGAACAGTTCCCATCTGTGCACTCCTGCGTAGGGGTGAGACCGGCAGCGCCAACTGGTGCACCGTGAGGGAGCAGGGAGAACATTCTGATAGTTGGCCAGGGTTTGACACTGCCTGAAAGCTGCTTGCAGCGAGACTAGAGCAGGAACGTGTTACTTTGTAATGCACCACACTTGCCGTTCTCCTGCAGTTCTATACTCAGTTTTACTGAGTGTCTGGTGGAGTTGGAATTTGAACCCAGATTGTGATTTTGCTGTGCCTGATTTCACAATCTCCTCGCAAGCATTCTGTGAGGTTGGTTTAGTCATTGATCCAATTTAAGAACAAGACAGCCAAATCTCATCACCTAGCTATGAGGAGGTGGATTTATTCTGCACCAGAAAGGTGTAAATTTTAAAGAAGTGTTCTTAATTACTTAAGGCTTTCAGCTCAGCAGAAGATATTTGTATTTTTGGAGAAAAACCAAGACTTAGGCCCAAGAGTCATGAGTTTCAAAAAGTAATGTATTTCTGAAAATATTTTCTAAAATTCTTTTGGGACCACCAAGGGGGCAATAATAAAAATACATTAAAATATGAGAGCTAAGATGATGTTCCCTCACTTTATGAGGCAGTACTGTATAGACTGGCTTACTTGGTTATTTTTCTGTGTGTTGTGTATTTGTGAGTGCGTATGATGTTTATGACTTTGAATAGGCCTAAGACACCATACGTTTTAAGAAACATACACATAGTTGGAACTAGTCTTTTGTTTTATCTCTCTTACTACTGATTGCTTTCTGAACTGTGTTTTTACTGTCTTCTCTATTAAATAGTAATGATTTTAATGGACTCTGAATTTGAAGAGGTGCTGAAGGTGACTTCTCTGCTCCCACTGTAGTGCTTACACTGAGAGAGCCAAAGACACTGGACACACTCTGGATTTGTTATTCTCATTCAAACGCCATGTGTTAGGCTCCCTACTCTCGCCGATATCCCTCACAACCATTTTAGCAACTAGTCCCAGATGCCCATTTCATAGATTTAGAATCTTAGCCTGGCAAAGGAGTCTCCTTAGGCCAAGGTGGCTCAAGAACTTCCCCAGTAGTCATTACAAGATAAGCACTGCAGTGGCACAGAGGCCGATAGAGCTGGGAAATATGCCCCCCCCCGCGCGCGCTCCCTGTGGCCAAGCACAGCCTTGCAAGCCCACTTTTCTCTTTCATTATCTCAGCTGGTGGCTCCAGGACAAACCCGCCAGCTGTTTGGCGCTACTAGGGTGACCAGCATGCCATTTCCGCTGTCCATGCGTCATTTCCGGTGCGCCAGCCTGGGAGGATGAAATAACAGACTTCTAGGGAATCCTCCTGTTGCTGCCCTGGGACTTACCACTGACTATGCTTTTTCTGACCCTTTAGTGACTGGCTATGTCATTGTCCCACTTGTACCGGGACGGGGAAGGCTGCATGGATGATGACGATGATGAGCGAGAGAACTTTGAGATCACTGACTGGGATCTCCAAAATGAATTCAACCCCAACCGGCAGCGCCATTGGCAAACCAAAGAAGAAGCCACTTATGGAGTGTGGGCAGAGCGAGACTCAGATGAGGAGAGGCCCAGCTTTGGAGGCAAACGGTATTGCTGTAATGGGGCTGCTTTCTCTTGTTTTAGGAAATGAGGGAGACACTCCCACAAGAATATTTCTTTCCTTGCCTTGTTTAGTCCCTTAGTTCCAACATCAACTAGGGCGGTCTAGTTTCTCCAGGTTGACACGCTGTTCTTTCACCAATTTGATCATAAGTCTGTATTTATGGGGCGGTTACTGTGGACTAGGTCTTGTGGTATAGACCCAGTCCTTGCCTTCCTGTAGCTCAGTCTCCAATGGACAGACGCCAGGGGATATCAGTTAGTAGCTCAGACAATCTTTGTAGCTTCAGTACGGGACAAGAGGGACAGCATAAATGCCTAAAGGCACATTTGATCTGTTCTGAGAGGTAGGGGGAGATTTCTCTGGAAAAGTGAGCTGAGATGAAAATTAAAGGTGACTGGGGTGGTAGGAGAAGTGTGAGTGTGCATCAAGGTGGGAAGGTATCAGGGTACCTACAAGGGTACAGAAGCTGTTGCAGACTGGAGCAAAGAGGGGGAGTTGTTGGTGGAGAGGGTGTGATATGGGGGCAGGCTGGGTTTGAGAAGACCCTCTGCATGCATGCAGGGGAAGTCTGCAGCAACAATAAGGACAGAACTCTTGAGAGGAAGGTGAGGCAGTGATCCACAGAGGTAGAAGTGGCCTGGGCTGGGAGGGGTGGGGAGATAAGGATTCAGGTCTGATTCTCAATGTAGGATCACGTGTGTGGACCTCCACTTGACCCATGTGCTTGGCCAGTGTGTGCCCATGATTGTGACTTTTTCACAGTAGAGGCTGAAGGAGAAAGCATAAGGATGAGTTATCACCCATAGGGCATCTAAAATCATACGTGTAATTGGACTAGGGATCAAGAATGGCGTAATCTTAAGGTAATAACAATCAACATATATTGACTGCTTACGTGTTCTGGTTACTTCACGGCTGGTCTCATTCACTTTATGAGAAAAGTACCATTATCCCATTGTACACATGAAGAAATGGGGGCCAGAGTCGCACGGCCAGTATTGGAATCTGAGCTGGTCTTGGAACCTGGACCTCCATGACTCAGCTGAGGCTCTGATCACCAAGTTATAGTGCATCTTTTAGGAAAAAGTTCTCTGAACTCTCTTGCTATTGTGGGGTTGTTTAATTAGTAGGTTGGTCATTTTAATAAGGCATCACTTTATTTTGTAATATCCCAAGGTTTTTGATGGGATTTGTTTCTTTCTGTGTTCCTTTAACCACACAGCTTTGTTTTATACAAAAGTGAACTGAGGGTAGTCACTTACTGTAATGGGTGTGTTTCAGTAGTCAGAATTTACAGTGGACCATTAAGTTACGATTCGCCTGACATACAAACAACTTGGGTTAATTAGGCTAAAGGAAGATTAATCTGCCTCTTGTTAATCTATAGTGTGTACTCAGTAAACATCAGATCTCAGCTGTATTGACTTACAACCTGCTCTCGGAACTGATTGAATTTGTAAGTCAAGGGTCCACTGTAAATCAATATGTTTTGTGGAATTAATGTAGAGTATTTCAGTATTCAAATAAATGTAATGGATGATTTTCTCCACTTGATAATATATCTTAATATGTTTTACATTCACATATTTCAAGAAATTTTACTTGTTCGTGATTTTCATCCATCTGTAGTGGGTTTTTTTTGTTTTTGGGTTTTTGAGACAGGCTCTCGGTGTGTGGTTCAGGCTGATCTTGAGCTCATTATCCCAGCTGGCCTTGAACTCACAGTGATCCTCCTGCCTTAGCCTCCCAAGTGCCGGGATACAGGTGTGCGCCACCATGCCCGGCTTCTATTTGTTTAATACTTGAAATAGTATCTGAAACAAATGATTGTTAAGGTAAAAAATGTGAAAGGAGCCAGGCACGGTGGCACACGTTTATAATCCCAGCACTCTGAGATGCCGAAGCTGGAGGATCACAAGCTTCAGCCTAGTCTTAGCAGCTGTCTTAAAATGAAAAGTGCCCTGGGCGTATAGCTTAGTATGAAGGCCCTGGGTTCAGTCTCCAGTACCACCACCACTAGCAAGAAAACAGTCATACAGGCAGCCAAGTCTGTGCTTTTCTGATATTCTTGTATATAAATAAATGTGTCTTTTTAAAATCGGATCCCATGAGGTACTGCTGAGGAATTTTCTATTGAGCCAAATTTCTAGGATGGAAAAAGTTCTTTACAGACCTGATGTTTCATTTGTGTGCCTGCAGGGCCCGGGACTACTCTGCTCCTGTCAGCTTCATTAGTGCGGGGCTCAAGAAAGGGGCAGCCGAGGAGGCAGAGTTGGAAGACTCTGATGACGAAGACAGACCTGTTATGCAGGATGACTTCCCCAAGGATGTTGGACCGAAGAAGTTAAAGACGGTAGAGTGTTTGGCAGGGCACCCGCCCGGAGGACGTCTTTCCTGAGCATTCCTTGAGGGGAGCAGCTCAGCAGGCACCCGTCATGAGGCTTTCTCCCTGCAGCAGCGTGTTTCTGTGTGGTTCTCTTTCCGTTTGTGCATCATGGATCGATGTTTGATTCACTCTAAAGTGTTAGGCCATTTTCTCACGGGCTAAGCTTTTCGAGATTTTTCTTTTGCATTTCCTAAGTCTTGGTTTTTCTTCTTTGAAGGGTGGCAATTTTAAGCCCAGCCAGAAAGGTTTTGCAGGAGGAACCAAGTCTTTCATGGACTTTGGCAGCTGGGAAAGACACACAAAAGGGATTGGACAGAAGCTTCTTCAGAAGATGGGCTACGTGCCTGGGCGGGGCCTCGGGAAGAATGCACAAGGTAAGGCTGCAGTACCTGGTTGTACGCCCCGTGGAGGCCTGGCTGAGGGAGGAGGGGGTAGCTGAAGGGGGGTTTGCTTTTCTCTGCCTTTTCTCTTCTGAATGTCCTGAACTCTGCTCCTGGGTCTGCCAAAATGGGACAGTTGTGGTCCTCATCTACCTTACTTTCCCAGAACCACATTCAGGAAAGTGCCTTTGTGGGAGGAAAAGCATCTCGGCCTAAAACATGCAGGAAATAGTTGGAAACAGTTTGTTTCGGCCTGACCACTAGTGTAAAATAATGAATTAGTTGTCCAGGGTGCAAAATCAGTCTCACCTAGAAGTGTAGGCTTTGTGTGGCAGTAGTTGAGCTGAATCATAGCTCCCCTGGGACCGCATATGCCTTCATTTGGGAGCAGACTGCACCACTCCCTGTTGTCTTGGGCGGTAGCCCACTTTATTCGTTTCCATGAGCCTGCCTGGGCCTTGAAGGCATTTAAATTTCTAGACCCTGCTCACAGGGTTTTGATTTTCCAAAAACAACGACTTGTCCTTCAGAAATATCAGTAAAACATTCTGTATAGCTTTTTCTCTTTTCTTTGTTTTGGAACGGAGGATTGAAGCCAGGGCCTTCACACTGAATTACATCCCCAGCCTTTTTATTTTTTGAGACATAGTTTCACTGAGTCTCCCAGGCTGAGCTTGAAATTCAGCCTCCAGAAGTGCTGGGATTACAGGCATACAGCACCACCCTAGGCTCTGTGTGGATTTTTTAATAGTAGAGATGTGTAGTTGTAGCATTCGTTAAGCATTTTCTGCCTTGGGTGCCTCCATGCTCACTGACAGCCCAGTCTGTTATCTTTTCACCCCAGCCCTGGTGAGACATCTCCCCTCACACACAGGCTTGTCTCCTTGATCCTGGAGCCACACAGTTGGATTCTTCTTGCAGGAACTTTTTTCTCTTTTTAGCTATTTTCTAGGAATGATTAGAATTGGGAATTGGATGTAATCAAAAGTATTTCCTATGGTTCACATTCTGGTTTCCAAATAGCTATTAAAAGTTAACTTCAGGTTATGTATTGAAAACATTAGCCAGAAGAAAAGTGCATGAACTTGAATGATTGTAGAAGTGCTGACCTAGAAGGAGAATGCGGTTGCAGATCTTATTTGAGATTTTAGCAGTACTGGATAGGGCCAGGAGGGTTGGAAAATTTGGGGCTGGAGGAAGGCATGATCATCGATACCTTATGATCCTGTTTGTAAATGGTGTTCTGAGAAAACCCTAACATACATGTCCAGGGCCTAGACATTCTATAAAAAAGTGAAATACAGGCAGTATGAACTGCTAAATATACAGATGAGCAATCTCTAAATACTAAACTGCAGCTTTACTTCCATCAGAACCAGTTCATTGCCCGAATCGTTGTGCTTGTCACAATACAGGCTTCCAAATGAGCGAGATATAAAATTTAGTATGGCTGAGTTCTCCATTCTAAATGAATTGTTCATTTTCTTCCTGTCCACTAAAATGGTGATTCCCAGTAGAAATGAAGTCTGCCTTTTGCACACAAATGACCTCAGGTCAACAGACAGTTCCACGGCAGCATCAGCAGCCAAAACTTTCAGACCACACGGGACGTGAACAGTGTTCCGAGTACAGGGCAGCACACTCCTTGCCGAGTGGGGTCCTTGTTTGCATAAGGAGCAAGGAAATGTGATTTCATCAAGTGGCTTGTTCACATACACGACTGATCTGATATGTGTTATTTTTTTTCTTTTGCTGAAATTGGCCAGGAATCATTAACCCCATTGAAGCCAAACAGAGAAAGGGAAAAGGAGCTGTGGGGGCCTATGGCTCGGAGCGGACCACTCAGTCCCTGCAGGACTTCCCAGTGGTGGACTCAGAAGAGGAGGCTGAAGAGGTGATCAGAGGGCAGGAGCTTTGTGGGTGGGGTCCTGTGCCATTTTGGTAGCTGTCTGTCCATCCATTCATGCATTCTGCCTGTCTTCACATTTTTACTGCTCACATTCTGCATGCCAGGTGCTTATCTGGAGGCCCCCTGAAGGAGGAGCAGAGTCCGCTGGACAGAGACAACACCTAACCACAGTGTGCTTAAGGGTGGCAGAGTGTACGGGAAGTGGGCGGGGAAGTGCCCACAGAGAAAGTAGGGCTGGGGAGAATGGTGCTGCCCTGTGTCTCATAAACAGCACGGGAAACCTGTAGGGAATGACACATTGTGGTTGAGACCTAGTGAAGGAGTAGCGAGAGTCAAGAGGCCAGACGCACTGGATTAGAGTGCCAAGTGTGAGAGTGTGAGACCTTACAGGCTGCCATTGTGGCAGGGGATAGCACACGAGGCAGAGAAGTGGTGTGCTCTGGTGGGCTGGCCTCCCAAGGCCTGCTGGCTGTCTTTTAGGTGCTCAGGTTGCATTTTCTTGCTGCACCCAGCCGTCAGGTGGCAGGAGTGTGGCATCTTGGAAGGGCTGGCTCTCCTCATTGAGGCATTCTTCTTTTGCTTGGATGAGAGAAATCAGGATGCCACAAAGAAACAAGTTACTGTTGATTACTGTTGGTATTGATCCACTCGTTTTATGTATTTATTTATTTTCGGTACGGGGGAGCGAACTTGGGTCCTTGTGAGGCAGGCGCTGGAACCACTTGAGCTACATCCTCGGCCCCTTGATCTGCTCCTTTTAACGAGGAAGGAGGCATGGTAATTTGGGGCTGCCCCTGATCTCAGGCTTAGATGTGAGTGGGTATGAGGTGATAGGCGTGGTATCTTACAGCAGGTGCGGGACAGCGAGGAGTGGTGTAGAGTGAGGCACCTGGTAAGGTGTAGCCGTCTGAAGGGGCGATCTTTGCTCAGCTGTAAGTGATTGTTGCCACCTGAAAATGTGGGCCCCCTTCTTCTGATCGTCTCATTTACCCAAAGTGGCCAGTCCAGATGCTCTTTGAGGAAAGAAACCTGTGTGAAGCAAATAAATGACGGCCACAAAACTGCCTTATGACTTATGACTTGGACTGTACATCCTCTGCCAGTTTCCTCCTTCATTTTAAATCACCCTGTGGAGAAGTCTGGCACTATATAAGACCTTTGCTTTGAGACTTGGGGCCTGTTCCTCAAGGTTTGTAAGAGTGTCATTGGATGGTTTCAATGTTACGCACATACAGGTGTTCACAAAGAGCATGGTGTATGTTAAGGCAGCAGCTGTGACTGACGGCTGAGGTGGCCCCACCTAAGAGGTGGCCCTTCCTGTTGAGACTGACTGTAGCTCTCTGCCTCAGGAGTTTCAGAAGGAGCTGAGCCAATGGAGGAAGGACCCTAGCGGAAGCAAGAAGAAGCCCAAGTATTCTTACAAGACAGTGGAAGAGTTGAAGGCCAAGGGCAGAATTAGCAAGAAGCTCACCACTCCCCAGAAGGAGCTTGCTCAGGTCAAGGTATGGTGCCCTTGGATACCCAGGCCAGGATCTATTCCAAAACAGAAAAGCAGTCCCCCACCTGAATGGACACTCAACATTTCCTAAGCTTCTACAGTCTTACTATTTTGGTGTGTATTTGGTGGGGAGATGGGGTCTGGCTTTGTAGTTAAGGCTGGCTCTGAACACACGGTGATCCTCATCTCAGCCTCCCAAGTGCTGGGATTACAGACATGTACCACTATGCCTACCTTTTAATTGGGCTTTTGTTCCTCCTATTCTCCTTCTGTGACCTGGTAGTAGCAGGTTCCGTTCAGGACGCTGACACGTTCAGTAGTGTGGTTGAGTTCCAGCTCTGTGCCCGGGACCCTCACGGCATCACAGTGGTAAGCTAGACAGAGGTGCACGTGGAGTATTAGCTTCCTATCCTTTTCCCAAGGAGCTAAGGAACAGTGACAAGAACTGCCTGTTGTAGGGTACAGACTGTGTCACAGGACTCTAAAACAGCCCACAGTGGGGTTCTCAGATGGTCGGTGCGATCAGTATCAGATTATCTGGGGAGCCTGGTAAGAATGGGGTGTGTAGCTCCCACCTACAATTGAGTCAGTAGATCTAGTCTGGTTTTTCCCTGTGATTCATGGGTCACACCGCTAGTTAAAGTGACAACTCTGTTTCAGAAGCACAACCCCTACTTGGATTTCCTCAGTTTTCCTACAAAGTTGAGATAGGTTCATTCCCAAAGCTGCCTTTGTCCAAGAACTGTGTGTGTGTGTGTTTCAGTTTTCATTAAAAGAATCACATGCACGGAATTTGGGGAGGGGGGAAGAGAAGGAAATCCAGAGAAGCAAAAGTATGAAAAATAGTTTCTGTCATCCGAAATTACCAAATTTTAACATCTTTTTTTTTCCTTTTTTTTTTTTCTCATTGAGTTTATTGGTACATTTTAGGTGTAGAGTACAGTTACATTCATGATTGGGTTCTGTACATGTCTTTACATGCCAGGTCTTGGTTCTCATTTTTTCCCCATACCCCTGCCCTCAAATTTTAACATCTTAACATACTTCCTTCTAGGTGTTTTTCTCTGCTTGTATAAGTGTATTTGTGGTTTTTACCAAAATGCCATAGTTTGATTGTACCATAGCTTTGTTACCTGCTTTGAGCAGTATGGTCTCTTCCATGAAAATGCATCTCCTCACTAATTCTCAGTCTCTATTGAAATTTCCTGGGTTTTCCTAACTTCTGTTCTCTGTGTGGCTGTTCCGAGGGGTTAGTCTGGAACTCCTCTCTGCACCTGTCCCGTCCCCCACAGCTCCTCTGATGGAGTTGAGTGCAGTCCGGCCTGTAGACTTCTTCAGTGCTACTGAGTAGTGTGGTTCTCACACTGCTGGGCTGGCATCAGGCCTTCCCCGGGCTTCATGTGATCGCAGGCAGCAGTGGTGAGGGTTAACCTGCATGCCCTCCGCCCCCTCTCCAAGGTCATAGACATGACGGGCCGGGAGCAGAAGGTCTACTACAGCTACAGCCAGATCAGCCACAAGCACAACATGCCGGACGACGGGCTGCCTCTGCAGTCCCAGTTGCCGCCCCTGCCTGGCAAAGAGGCAAAGGCTCCGGGCTTTGCGCTGCCCGAGCTGGAGCACAACCTGCAGCTGCTCATCGACCTCACTGAGCAGGAGATCATCCAGAATGACCGGCAGCTGCAGTACGAGCGGGACATGGTGGTCAACCTCTCACATGAGCTGGAGAAGATGTCTGAGGTCCTGGACCATGAGGAGCAGGTCATCTCCAACCTTAGCAAGGTGCTGGAGATGGTGGAGGAGTGCGAGCGGCGTATGCAGCCCAGCTGCAGCGACCCACTCACGCTGGATGAGTGTGCCCGCGTCTTCGAAACCCTGCAGGATAAGTACTATGAGGAGTATCGCATGTCAGACCGCATGGACCTCGCAGTGGCCATTGTCTACCCACTCATGAAGGACTACTTCAAGGAGTGGGACCCCCTTAAAGTGAGTCGTGGGGGTGTCTGCCTGCCTGGCTCACGTGGGGCATGCCCTTGGTTGACGGCTGTTCAGAGGGCAGAAGAGCTGGCTGACCTGCGAGGTGTTTCTCCGCAGGACTGTGCCTATGGCACTGAGATTGTCTCCAAGTGGAAGACCCTCCTGGAGAACGACCAGCTCTTATCACACGGCGGCCAGGATCTCTCGGCGGATGCCTTTCACAGGTCCCAGGGCAAACCCTGCTGTCTCCTGGGGCTGGCAGGGTGGGGGTGGAGCTAGGGGTTGCAAGGGCTGGGAATGGCATGGTCCTGGCCTTCATGAACCCTCTGCTCCACACTAGCACTCTGGGAATTTTGACTCATTCATTCATCCACTCGGCCTGCGCTTTAGAGTGTGTCACGCGTGCTCAGTGCTGGGTGTAGCCTGGGAATACTGCCCAGGAGTACCTGGTGCTGTGGAAGTAGCAGGTGGCACGGAAGGAATGAACCAGTGATGCAGGAGACACAGTGGATACAGCAGTGACAAATAAGGGCATGCAGCTACTTGGGGTGGGATTGGAGCAGGGATCCGTCAGAGCAGGGGACTTTGAGGCTGTGTCCCAGAGCAGGAGTTGCGGCTAAGGGGGAAAGCACCTGGTGCCTGGAGAGGGTCCCTGTGCTGGAGGCCATGAGCCTGTGTGATCCTGAAGACTGAGGCCCCACGGGTCAAAGGACATTCGTGCTGAGTTGGTAGCAGGCTGAAGTCTGTCTAGCCAGGGTGGGGACTGGCTTGGTGGCTCTCTGTGGCTAGATTTCTGTTTCTGCTAGAGGTGGGAGATGGTGTGCAGAGTGGACTTTGAAACCAATCAGAGTAGCCACCCAGCCTGCCCTCTGCCTTTCTCCATAGGCTGATATGGGAGGTCTGGATGCCTTTTGTTCGAAATATTGTCACCCAGTGGCAGCCAAGAAACTGTGACCCCATGGTAGACTTTCTGGACAGCTGGGTGCACATCATTCCTGTGTGGATCTTAGATAACATCCTGGACCAGCTCATCTTCCCCAAGCTGCAGAAGGAGGTGAGGTGTAGGGTGTGGGAAACACTGCCACTGGGCATTTTGGGGACTGCTTTAGTATTTTCTTCATTATGATATCTCCGTGCTGTTAGAATTTCTGGAATTACAGGAATTTGTCAGTACAATTTTTACCCTAAAGTGAGTCCTAGCCTTTCTTCAGTACGTTTTCCCCACTCCTCCTTTAAGAGGGAATTCATTCTCTTGGTATCTGCAGTGAAGTTGGAATTGTGCATTTCCGAGAGTCACTGACAGTGTCTCTGCTCAGGGAGATGAAACGCAAAACACCTACAGTGCGCCTTGGCTGCCCGGTTCTCACGTTTCCATCCTTGAAGTAGTGGCTGTGTCCTCCACACACAGGAAGAACACTGTGGCCCTCAGCCAGGCGTGCCTTTCCCTGTAACTCGACAGGGTGGGCTGTGTGACTGTTTTCTTGCCCACTTGCCATGCAGGTGGACAGCTGGAACCCCCTGACAGACACGGTCCCCATCCACTCCTGGATTCACCCGTGGCTGCCCCTCATGCGGGCACGGCTGGAGCCACTCTACTCCCCCATCCGCAGCAAGCTGTCAAGTGCCCTGCAGAAGTGGCACCCCAGTGACTCCTCCGCCAAGCTCATCCTCCAGCCCTGGAAAGACGTCTTCACCCCTGGCTCCTGGGAGGCCTTCATGGTCAAGAACATCGTGCCCAAGTTGGGTAAGGAAATGAGGTCGTGCATTCCAAGTCCTCCATTCATTACTGATGCCGTGCTCGGTGGGCAGTGGTCATGAGCTAAACTAAAATAGGACTTTTGAATTCATGGAAGTGCTTGGTACAGGCCATTTAGGGGAGAGGCCACCTGTAAATACAACTGGGGTCCTTTCTGCTGTTCAGTTAACAGCAGTGCCTGGAAGTCTGCAGTGAGTGCTGGGCTCACATTGCCTTGTGGTTTGCCCGTTTGGCCGTCTTGGCTTCTAGTGACAGTACAGCCACTGTTGGTCTGAAATTGTTGTGGCATTTTACTCTGAATTATTAGGAAGTTATTTCTGAGTAGGAGGGAAAAATTTTTGTTTTAAGAACTACTTTGTCAGGAGCTTAAAATTGACCTTTAAGAGCAGATCAAAGCTGTTCTCTGGTGACAATTGCCCTTTGACTTTGCCAGGACAAAAGTCGAGCCTAGGGACCGTTTTCTTGCAGGGATGTGTCTCGGGGAGTTAGTTATTAACCCCCACCAGCAGCACATGGACGCTTTTTACTGGGTGATCGACTGGGAAGGGATGATCTCCGTCTCCAGCCTCGTGGGGCTCCTCGAGAAGCACTTCTTCCCCAAGTGGCTCCAGGTGCGCTTTTGTTCTGCTTGGCTTTGGGAGGACAGGGTGAGGGGTGGCGCAGTTGCTGAATTTCCCGCAGAGGCCTGGCTGCATATGAGAATGAATTACAGTGTGAGGTGGGAAGAAGGGACAGCTACGGTCATGTGTGTCACATACCAGCTGCTGTTCTAAGTACTTTATTTGTATCAAGTCAGCTCTTCAGCTCCTCGGAGTGGGTACTTTGAGGTCCCTGTTAGGGACATGGAGGCTGAGGGTCAGCAAGAGCACTTAGCTACCAGGCTGACTCCAAACCACTCTTCCATGCCAGGGTCTTCAGATCCTGTGAGCCCTGTAAAGTGGTGTCACCTGTTCATAGGACCAGCATTAGGAATTATTCTGTTTGTTGCCTCTGGGGATGCAAGTGTCTCTCTGTTTTTGGCAGGTGCTATGCTCCTGGCTCAGTAACAGCCCAAATTACGAAGAGATCACCAAGTGGTACCTGGGGTGGAAATCCATGTTCTCAGACCAGGTGCTGGCGCACCCATCCGTCAAGGACAAATTTAACGAAGCCCTTGATATCATGAACAGGGCAGTGTCCTCCAACGTTGGTGAGTAGGGTTACCCACTTCCCATGTCCTGGTCCCTGTTGGCTGCCTAAGCCGGTACTCCTCATTCTTCCGAAGACTATTGCCTGTTGGATTGATAGCTGTCACCTCAGGCCCTCTGCCCAGCTCTCCTGGACAGCTGTGCCTGGAGGGGTGTTGGTCACCGAGTGGAGACTGACTGGGGCCGTCCAGCTCGGCCCACCGCCTGGCCTGCAGCGCCGTGTTGCTTAGCTTCCCCATTTCCTGCCCAGCTGTCTTGGGTGTGCTGCTCCTGTCAGTTTGTGGCTGCCAGACTAATTTTTGTTATCAGCCTGTCGTGCAGTCTCTCCCCAAAGGTGCTTGATTGTTAGCCCCTCGTGTCTTTGGGCAGAGCTGCCCTCTGAGTCACAGGTACCTGGTCCATGTCACGTCAGTCCCGGTACGCCTCGGAACGCTGCCCCTCACTGGCCTCCCTCCTCTCTCTCAGGTGCCTACATGCAGCCCGGGGCACGGGAGAACATTGCATACCTCACCCACACGGAACGGAGGAAGGACTTCCAGTATGAGGCCATGCAGGAGCGAAGGGAGGCTGAGAACATGGCCCAGAGGGGCATTGGCGCAGCTGCCAGCTCTGTGCCCATGAACTTTAAAGACCTCATTGAGACCAAGGCCGAGGAGCATAACATTGTCTTCATGCCTGTCATCGGCAAGCGGCATGAGGGGAAGCAGTTGTACACCTTTGGCCGCATTGTGATCTACATCGACCGCGGGGTGGTGTTTGTGCAGGGTGAGAAGACCTGGGTGCCCACCTCCCTGCAGAGCCTCATTGACATGGCCAAATAGACTGCACAGGTCCAGAGCAGGCCATGGAGTTGTTCTTGACCAGGACTGTTGTGAATAAAGGATTTAAAGTCATCTCTGGAAGCCTAACGTCTCCACTCGGGAGGTGCCCCAGCACTGGTGCTTGTACTGGTCAACTCTCCTGTTGCTGGAACAAAATACCTGACACCAGCAGCTTAAAGGAGTAGAGGTTTATTTAGCCCAGTCTCAGACCAGTGGTGGGCTGGCTGCAGGACAGGAACATGGCAGAGGGGGCAGTGAAGAGAGCTGTTCACTGCACGGCAGCTGGAGAGCAGAGCACAGGGGAAGAGTGCCTGGCCCCAGCGCCCACCTCCAGCTGGGCCCCACATCCTAACAGCACATTCAGCTTGGACAGCAGAGGATAACGCACTGAGGAGTATAGTGCCCCATGATCCAGTCACCTCTCCTGGTGTCTCCAGAGTGGTACAGCACTAGCCCAGCATCCACAAGCCCTTAGTTCAATCCCCCGCATCATGGAGATACTTAGACCAAGCCACCAGGGAAGGATGTAAAAATGCTATTTTAGAAGTCTGTACATCTTTATACTAAATTCTCACACAGCATGTCATCCTTAAAACAGGACAGCCAACTTGCTGTATTTCCGGTTCTCCTTTCTGACATTTGGCCCGCTACAAAGAAAGGGTTCCTCTGTGTCCCTCCCTGGGAGCCTGTCTTCCTGGCAGGTGGCAGATTCCACACATGCAGCACTGAGCGCCTCACGGTAGGCTCGTGTCAGCAGCGGGAGAGTCTGTTGTCTTCCTGATGATCTCAAGGTCCTCACAGCCCTGGTAGTCAGGTTCTTCCCAAAATGTCCACAGATCCCTGGGGAGCTGTTCCAGCTTTTGTGTAGGGAACCAGTGGACAGAGGTGTCATTAAATGTGTCCATGTACTCTGGAGTCTGAGGAAACTCCACCTCCTTCAGTCCTTCGAGAATCTGAGCAGGAAAATCCAAATATAAAGACTTCTTAGTTATAGTAACCCCCACTGTTCTAGCTTAAATTTCCATTTTGTCACCCTATTGTCTGGAAAAAGAAGGAATATTTTATTTAGATGCTTTTGTGCAGTGGATTGGAAGCCCCAAAGGTAATGGATATGTTGGACTAGGACTCTGAGATTGAGAATAAAGGAAACTAAGCTTTCTGGAGCAGAGATCTGTGGGCTGTGCTCACAGACAGTGCACTAATGCCCTGTCACTAGCCCCTAGTTCCCTCCAACACAAACAAGGCAGACTTCTTCCCAGTGAGTGATTTCATACCCACTTCCCTCCCAACCTCCTCATTCAGATAATACCTTTGCGATGTAGGGATAATTTTTCTGCAGAATCCTTGTCAATAACCTAGAAGTAAAAACAACAGTGATTAGGAGGTACGTGAAAGGTTTTATTAACTTAAACACAGAAAAGCAAAGTGACCTGAAAAACTGGAAGAATTCAGAACAGAATTGAGGGATGTGGGATATATTAATTGGTAGAAAATGTGGATACCTAGTAATTGTTCTCACTGTCAGCAGAGAAATGCTAAAAGCAGATACCTAAGCATCATGAAACAGAAGGAGGGTGGGGACCTATAGGCAAGGGGAGTAAGTAAATGGCTTTTTGAAACCCTTCCTGTGTTCTAAGAGAAGGCAAGAATTATTTGTGAAGACTCCCCACTTGCTTCACAGTTGGACTAAGGGTCTGATACGTCTCTTTAACTATTTGTCCAGTTCCTTACGGGAACAGCGTCTCCACGTCCATGACAGTCATGGAAATATTTCAGTTTGCGGTCAGCTTGGCGTGGGCTTCACCTCCAGGCCTGACGGAGTCCCAGCATCCACAGGCTCACCTCTCTTCAAGGCCTCTGAAACTGTTCCCAATGATGACCATCCTAGACAGGGCATCCACAGACCAGTTACTCCACAGAAGGTTGTTGTACAGGGCGGTTCCACAGTGGAGCATGTAGAAGACAGTGGGCTCCCCACAAACACGCCTCTTGCCTTCCTGGGGAACGAAAGGGACAGATGGAAACGATCACAGGTCACTGGGATACCTACAGATAACAAGCAAGATAAGTGGAACATTAAATAAAAACGACATCACATGAAATGAGACTGGATAGTCCCACTGGTGTGTGTGAAATCCATACAATCATGGAGTAAAGTCAGGAAATGGTGACATCCAGGAAGGACTCAGTTAACAAATGTGTCACATGAACACAGCTCTAGACTGATGAAGGGTCTCATTGGTCCGTGACAGGACAGGAGGGATGACAGTTGTCACTGTTCCCATGTACTATGTTTAGGAACCCTCCGTGCTTCCTGTGTCACTTTCAGGTCCCCATCATAGCTGAAGGCCCTTCAGATGTCCCTGGGAAGGCACAATGTCTCCTTTTCTTTACCACACTCCTTGGCAGGTATACTTCTGTGGTCTCTCTTCCACTTTCCTTGCAGATTCCAAGGTTGGAACAAACTGGCGGTGGTATTCAGAAGCCAGCTCTGCAGAGCTGCCTGTAATCCTGCTTCTGGTCCTCTAGCAAACTTCCGGTTGGTCTCCAAATCCCAGCTCAGACCCAGAAAACCTTCCCTGGTTGCCAAACATCTGTCCTGTCTCAGCTCCTTGTATGCAGTTCTGACACTGTGGCACATTCATCATTTATAGCTGCAGTCCATGCACCTTGTTGGAACCATGGGCTCTCTTTTCTAGGGGGGAGGGCGGTACCAGGGATCGAACTTGGGTCCTTGTGCTTGTGAGGCAGGCGGTGGAACCACTGAGCTAAATTTCTGGCCCTAACCATGGGCTCTCTTTTCTAGGGGGGAGGGCGGTACCAGGGATCGAACTTGGGTCCTTGTGCTTGTGAGGCAGGCGGTGGAACCACTGAGCTAAATTTCTGGCCCTAACCATGGGCTCTCTTAAGACAGGTTCTGACTCTCATTTATCCTCCTCTTTTTTTTTGGTACCGGGAATTGAACTCAGGTCCTTGTGCTTGCAAGGCAGGCAGCGGAACCACTGAGCTAAATTCCTGGCTCCTCTTCAGCTCTCTTAAGCTCCCTGCCCAGCTCTTAAGCAGGCATTCAGCAAAGACAATCTCAACTGAATGAGTGTTCCCAGATATTACCACCAGTGGGGATTGATGTATCTCTTGGCCGGTCCTAACTTTTAGGCCATACAATAAACAAAAAGATGGCAGTTTCAGGACACACAGAGGAATAAAGCAACTCTGTAAATTCCCAAGACAATGCAAACCTACATTCAGAGGTGTCTGCTCATACTGGTGTCAAACCCATGCCTGTGAAATGAAGCTTTTCAGGGGTCTCGGACACATCCACTCCCAGCTCTTTATGGAGTGGTGGTGGGGGGGTCACAGCAGATTTACCTGCAAGTCACAGCCAGGTGCTGGGTGTGACTGGGCGCAGCATCATGGAAGGGCAGGAAGAGACCCAATCCCCTTTTACTACTGCCCCAGGACAAGGCAGGTTCCAACCAGAAGAGCCTCACTCACGGCACCCAGATGTTATGCCTTCTCAATTTTTTTTTTTTTTTTTTTTTTTGTACTGGGGATCGAACTCAGGTCCTTGCGCTTTCAGGGCAGGTGTCAGAACCACTGAACTAAATCTCCAGCCCTTCTTAACTTTTAAATAAAAGCAGCAGCAAATACCAATTAACATAAATCTGGGACAAAGCATCCTTGCAGGAATTTTCCAAACTTAACATGTTCTAGTTCCTACTATTTGTGTGATTTTAAGTTTTTCTGATGGGTACAGCATAAACCAAAATGGATGGGACCGACCAGTCAAATTTTACAGGCAGTGGGAAAGCAAGCAGAGGAGAGGAATGCACACCATTTCAAAGAAACGTGTCCATCGACAGAGCTGGGCTTGGTCTGGTCGAGATCTACACAGCCTGCCCCACGATTCCCCTGAGTCCCTTACCTCATTCTCACTGAGGACCGTCACACCAAGGCTGTGAAGAGCTGAAATTTCGAGTGGGCTGAACAGAGGGTCATAGACCCAGCACTGACTTCTAGGAGTCTGGAAGGGAAGAACGAGTCATTTCAATGCATAAGCACGTTGTATGCAAGAGCAGGGGAGGGGAGATGAAGATGGATCCAGAAACTGACCTGGCACTTGTCCAGGAAGAGAAGCAGAAATGCCAGCTGGGTTCTAGCTGTGATGCAGGTGGCAAAGTTGCCAATGCCGTAACACACACACTTCACATGGCAGATTCCTGAGACCAAGGTCTCTCCTGGGCTGGAGGCATGGGACACACTGGACTCACCTGGTGAGTCAAGGTGCAGGTTTCCAAAGTCTTCGGACAGAGACCTCGCAGCAGGCTTCTGCTGTCCCAGCTGTTCTGTAAGGCATCGGCTGATGGTTTCTGAAACAGCAGCCCCAAAGGCAGTCAGAGGGTACGCTTTGCCCGAGAGCCACACCACCCACCAGAGAAGGCCCAGAGCCAGGGAGAAAGGGCAGTAAGGGCTTCAGCTCCCCAGAGAGAAGCCGCCTGGGATGTGCAGCCACGTCCATCACAATCTGACAGGCTATCCCAGGCGCTGGATTCCTAGGGCCCAAAACCCAAGAGAATGTTTCAACCAAACGGGGGCTTCATTCATGGACAGTTTCCATCTAAAACTCTAATGTGAACCATTCTAATTCAACAGGAAGTTCCTACTAGGTGCAGGCTATGCTCTAAATAGTGTTTTGATTATAACAAAGACTAGAAGAACATAACTCAAAATCATATAATAACTATCTGAGAGGAGGAAGGCTAACCTGTGAAAAGGTCAAAGAGGAAAAGGTATGCTGGGGGCTTCAAGAACCTAAGAAACATACTCTGTTTAAATCTTTTTTAAAAAATATTCTTATACAGAGGTAGGTTCTCTTGTCCCTTTTTAAAATTATACCAATACTGAATTTAGTTGAATAAATCTGTATGCAAAACAAAACAAAAAGCCATACATTGCAATGATAAGATACTAATTTTCACTTATCAAAGTAGCAAAGCTTGCTATATAGAAGATCAGGACAGGAAAGATTATTTGAAAAATTGTCTCGTTAGGTCCTTGCTAGTAAGAAAATTTGTAAAAATAGCCTTTCAGAAAACACCTTAACAATCCAAATTGAGTTGGTGACTGCCTTTTACTAAACAATGTCACTTTTGTGAATATATCCTACTGAATCATACTAAACTTGGTAAAAGCTCTAAAATTGCTCATTGCATTGTTCTGTATAATAACTAAAACATAAATGAAAGACACTAACTGGCCTTCAACAAAACAAGTAACTATGGGGCCGGGGATTTAGCTCAGTGGTTCCAGCACCTGCCTCACCAACACAAGGACCCGAGTTCGAGACCCAGACCCCCCGACACCCAAAAAGTAACTATGGTATGCTCACTGCATTCATAAATATCATGTGGCTACACATCATATTAAGAAGAGATTATAATTGCTTGGGAAAAAGTACACTATGATATCAAGGGAAAACAACATGATAATTATGAAAAAGACAGCTGACATTTATTGTCTTCTATGCAGCAAGCAAGCACTGTGCTAAGCATGTACCCACATAACCTCGCTTAATTCTCAAAAATACATTACTGGATATGTATATGATCATCTTCTTTTCACAGATAAAGAAACTAAGGGTTAGATACAGTTAAGTGCCAAAGGAGACACAGCCCTAAGGGAGGAAACCAGAATTAGAACCCAGCATGAACACTGCTCTGTGAAGTGAAAGTGTCCTCAAATGAGGATGGGATTTCCCTTTTGTCTACACAGAGGCTCCCCCCACAGCCTTCTCCTTAGGTAGGTGGTACATACCTACTGCTGAACTCCAGAAAGTGGAGATAAGCAGGTCATTCCTGTTGAGAAAAGAAGGCACAATCGTCTCTTATCCTTTCAGCACTTCCCTAGCAATACCTTTCTGCCTGACCATGAGGTAGATGCCTTGAGGACAAAGTGCCCTCTACCCACAGGCCACCTTTACTGCCTGTTAAGAGATGTGCACACAAGGGCTGGGGATGTAGCTCAGTGGTTCCGGCACCTGCTTTGCAAGCGCAAGGACCTGAGTTTGATCCCCGGTACCAAAACGAAAAAAAGAGATGTGCACACAGGGCCAGGAATTTAGCTTAGTGGTGATGCCAAATGCCTTCCAAGTGCAAGGGCCTGAGTTCAAGCCCTGGTACCAAAAAAAGAAAGAAAAAAAGATAGATGTGCGCACACTGCCAGGTCCAGAACCACTGTGCATACTGCTGGGGTCACAGGGCACAGGAGAGGCAGTTTCCTAGTGGAGGCCCTGGATTCTTGGCCCACAACAAAGTGGAACCATATCTATCACAGAGGGTGATGGGGGGATTAAATGAGTTAGCACTGTTAGGACAGTGCCACATAAGAGGTTATAATAAACTGCCTTTGTTACTAAAATAAGTCTAAGGGAAAAGTAAAAGAAGACACGAGTGCCTAGTCTTTCTTTATTTAAGTTTCCACAAGCCCAGAGCTAAACAAAGTGAATTGTGAATTAAACTGCATATGAACCAACAAGACATAGACCAGAGAAAATGTGTAGGGATCGGTTATGGTTTAGATCTAAAATGTCCCCCACAAGTCTTGTGTTCACAGACACTGCTCACTTTGGCAGCACATATACTAAAATTGTGTTCATAGGCAGGGCTTTTGGAAGGTGACTGGATCATGGGGGTGGAGGGCTACACTCATTAATGAATTAGTCTACCACTGAGTTCATAGTGACTATGCTATTCAGTGAGGGCCCCGGTCAGAAGAGGCAGGTCATTGGAGGCATGACCTGGAAGGGTATATTCTTGTTCCTCTCCACTCCCCTGGCTCTCTCTCTTGTTCTTGACTGCCATGGTGTGAGCAACTTTTCTCTGCCTTGCCCTTTCACCATGCTGTTTCTGCCTTTGAGTCAGCCATCCATAGACTGAATGAATTCACTAAAACTATGAGCCAAAATAAAAACCTCCTCCATTAAGTTGTAGGTGTTGGATATTTTGTCCCAGCAACAGGAAAGCTGACCAATATAGAGCTCAAAGGCTGCCCACCATGGGAAAAGGAGGGCAAAGGAGAGCTCTAATATACATGGGTGTGCCTGATAAGTCTGTGCACAGATGAGCATGCTAAGTGCCTGGCTCTTCTCTGCTCAAGGCCGGGGTGACCCATACCATACTTAGTGGCGCTGGGAGAAATAGGGAGCCTCTGGAAAATTCTGAAGAAGTAAGGAAATAATCACAATGTTAAGGGTTATATGGAAAGAGTCTTAAGAGTTCTCCAAATGCCCAGGCACACTCACTCTCATTTACATCTGAAGTTTCTGTTTGCCAGTACTGGGGATTGAACCAAGGGCTCCTGGCATGATGGCAGGCCCCTATCTTTGAGCTATATCTCAGAACTTCTTATTCATTTTTATTTTGGAACAGGGTCTCACTAAGGTGCCTAGGCCGGCCTTGAACTTGCGATCATTCCGCCTCGGCCTCTGTAGACCTTCAGAGATCTTACAAAGAGTTGTTGCTGTTTTTCTCCACCCCCTACTCCCTAGGCTCAGCCAGCTGATCAAAAATTTCTTTCTATTCAGAGGTAACCTCTGAGTCACCACTGCCTCTTGATCCTAATTCTAGGAATGAAGAGCCTATAAAATTGGTCGAAATCTCTCTCCCCCTTATTATGGTTCTTAACGCTGATCTGAAGAAGAGCTAAGGTTGTCATTTTTTGAGTCCTAACAGGACTAATACTAAATAAGAGTATTAATTCTCACTAACAACATTAAGGAACATTTACTGAGTTCTTCCTGTGTCTGGTATTGTCTGTGTGCTTTTTCAGGGACTGGGCAAGGTATGTGGGGACCTGGGGTGAAAAAAAAAAGAGTCCAAACAAATGGTGAGATGTAAGTTTGGGCATCAGCAAGACAGGTGTGAAATCTGGTTCCATACGTTCATGGCCTAGGTCTCTTTGGGCTACTAAGCTCCTAGCATGGCTGTGATGTTCAACACTGACAAAGTGTGTAGAATGCCTAAGGTAGTGCTAAGCATTGCTAGGCACACAGCAGCTGGTCAATAAATTAATGATGATAATAGTGACAATCATTTGTTCTTGCTTTCTCTCACCAAAAATACTAATAACTAACATTGGAATTAATAGCAAAACCTGGCCCAGCCGTTACCACATGCCGGGAAATAGTTCACATTTACTAAATCACATATCAGAAAACGAAGGCACAGAGATTTCAAATTGCCCAAGGTCACGAACTGTCATGGGAATAAGAATAATGACAATTTTCACCGGGATCTTACTATAATTCGGGACTGCAAGACGCTCGTTACCTCCGTTAAATTGTCACAGTAATCCCCCAAGAAAAGTTTTTAGCACATCTCCACTTTAGAGACGGGGAGCCTGGGGCTCAGAGAGGGGCCCATACATGCGGACTCAATCCCCCCGCCGCACTCACTCGGCCTCCTGGAGGCGACGAAGCACGACTTTGGTGTCAGCCTCGGGCTCAGTCTCAAGGCCTCGGGCCTCCACCTCCGTTCTCCGAGGCCGCCGCGGAGCTGAGCGCTTTCGCGGAGCGGTCGTCTGCCAGGGTTCGAGCGCCTCCTTAGAGGATGCGGCCATTACTTCGTGACGTCACCACAGCGCCGTGCGCTCGTTTGCGTCATCGCCGCGCGCCGGCTCCCTGCGACCTTTAGGGGGCGGACCCGGGAGGCGGAGCGGCGCGTGACCTGGGGCAGCGCTACACTTGCGCGCGAGTATGCTGAGCGCTTTCGCGGAGCGGTCGTCTGCCAGGGTTCGAGCGCCTCCTTAGAGGATGCGGCCATTACTTCGTGACGTCACCACAGCGCCGTGCGCTCGTTTGCGTCATCGCCGCGCGCCGGCTCCCTGCGACCTTTAGGGGGCGGACCCGGGAGGCGGAGCGGCGCGTGACCTGGGGCAGCGCTACACTTGCGCGCGAGTACCCGGCGGAAGTCGTGGCCACTGTGCCGACTCCCACATTCCGGGTCCAGAGCCCTGAACCTCGAGCCCCCGGATGCCTGGCTACTGCGGTGGGTGGGCGAGCGGGGCGTGGGGACGTCCAGGGGTGGGACCCGGTTAAACCCCGGCCGCTCTCGCCGTTTCCCAGCCTCGTGGCTCTAAGACCTGTCCTGAGGCCAGAGGCCTCTTCGGTTCCAGCAGCGTCTTCCTGGCCATTTGCAACCATTAGCACCCCCTTTCAGTCCCCTTGACCAACTGAGGTTCTTTCCTGAACCACTGCCGCCGCCCCTCCTTCAAGCCTTTTGTTTTTCACTTTTTTTGAGACACGGTCTCGCTCGCTCTGCAGATCAGGTTATCCTTTAACGCACTATGTAGCCCAGGCTGGCCTCAAACTCGTGCGATCCTTCTGCCTCAACCTCCCCAGTGCTGGGATTACAGGCGAGCTCCACAACCCCTGGATTTGTTTTCCACTTCTTGACATTCCTGAATCACTTCCCAGACTGCCACAGCCATTTCTGGTCACATCCTGACACCTGTGACCCCAGGGTCACTGCTGGCCTCTCCTGGACGTTTCAGAGTTAAGCGAGAGAACCTTGATAGTGTTGGACCCAGTCCTTTGGGAAGAAGGGTGGGCACTTTGAGGCTGCTGTCCCTGGTTCCAGGAGCTGAGATGATGCCTCTGTAGGTCCCAGAGATGCTCTAGAATACTCTGGGTATGGCCTTAAGAGGGAGGACAGCCCAGGGTAGCTGGAGACACCTGTCTGCCAAAGAGACTTTAACCATGTCGCCAGCTGTTCTCACAGAAGAATGCATCTGAGACACGTTCACTGAGGACGTGAAGCTTAGAGAAAGTGACCACAGAGCTGTCACGTGGAAAGATTAATCCTTCTTGTTTTCCTGTAGTGTCACCCAATGCAGTGAGGGAGGAGGCCAACTGAATAACCTTAATACTGAGACTAGCCTGTCCCTGAAGGAATGTGCCAGTGGGTGAGAAGATAGTTTTGGTGGAGAGTGCAAGAGACAAGGATTAGAGAAAATGAAGCCAGGGTCCCTTCTGATGACTGAAACTGCGAGTTGTCTCCCTTGGGGAGTTTGAAAGCCACTTGCTGAAAATGTTCTTTTTGCTCTTTGAAAACTTGCTTGGCTCTGAAATGTTGCATGTTCAAGTTTCTTATGGGCTATCGAGGTGGCAGTTCCTTAATTTGGGTTCCATTATTACTATGGGAGCCACTTTATAGTGATCCCTAATACGCAGTACCTCTTCACACTAATTACTTAATTTTGTCTTCTGTGATGCTTGTGATCAGTCGTTGAAGAAACTAAGGCATTTAGAAATCTTGGCTGCCCTTTTTACAATTTTGAAACATAATTGTCACAAGTATTGCAAGCCCTTTTGAAAATACACCATTTGTTCAACTCTGCCTGGGTCACATGCTCTCTCATGGGTTTCTGAAAATAATCTATTCCTTGTGTTTGTTTCACAACCAAGGCACTGATGTTTGAACTGGAAACTTCAGAACTTTCAAAAGACTTTAGGGTGGTTTTGAACTCTACACGTTAGAAATTCGTCAGAACACTTTTTCCAGCCAGCATGCTGGAATCCCTATGGGGATTTCCTGGAGAGGAGCCTGAAGAGGTCATTGTACAGACACCCATGCTGATGCTCATGGTACCTGCCTAATGGATTTGTCTTTGCCAGTCGTCTCTTGCTTTATTACATTCTCTGCCACAGTTTTGGAAGCTGTAGAGATACCCATGGGACTGAGAGGTCTACAAGAAAGGGAAGTAGCACTTTCCTGCTGACTAGAAATAAAGCAAGTGGCAATTCTGACAAAAGACTGTTAATCTTTCCACACCTGGTTTCGCTGGATTGGGGACGCAGCTGGAGAGCAAGAAGTGATACTCGGAAAGGGAACCCACAGGAAGAGGATGAGGCCTGCTGGAGAGTAAATGGCCACCTCCACCTCTCCAGAGACAAAGTCAGCTTCTTGGTGAGTATCTGGGCCAGCTGCTGTTGGAGCTCTCACCAGGCAGCTGGGTGAATCTCTAGGGTGATTAAAAACCCCTAGTCAGATTGTTTTGATGTTATAAGCAAAAAATAAAATAATCATTTTCTTCAAGCAACCACATTTAGAGCTAATGTGTTTTGTTTGTGGTAATGGGGATTGAACCCAGGAGCTCTCTACCACTGAGCAAAACCCCCAGCCTTTTAAAATTATTTTTATTTTGACACAGGGTCTCGCCAAGTTATTAAATTTTTCAGGCTGGGCTCTTACTTGTTATTCTCCTTCCTCTCTCCCGGAGGGCTGGGATTACTGGGGTGTGCTACCACGCCCAACTGAGAACAAACGTCTCAACCTAGCGAGCCTTTTGCTCCATTTAAAGGAGTTCAGTATTGCTGGTAGATTGTAAAAGAGATGACCACAGCTGATTAAGCAGCTAGCTTTGCTCATAACCTAGGCATGATACTCCACTGTGGAGAGATGAGGAATGGTTACAGTTAAGAATTACACCATGACAAGGAGCCTGGCTAGTCTGGCTCTCAGAAGGTGTTGCACAACATCTGCCTGAAACTCAGTTCCCTGCCCCACCCCATATGTTCTGATCCTTTGTCATAATTTGATCCAACAGATATTAACGGGAAGGTGAAGTGAAAAGCATGGTTTCCCCAGACTTAATAGCCCAGTGTGGTGGTGCGTGCCCAGGCACTCTGGGAGACTTAGGCAGAAAGATCAAAAGTCCAAACCTAGTGTGAGCAACCCAGAGATATAAAGAAGGGCCTGGATCCAGTCTATAATACCCCAAAAATTAAAAAATGAAATAAAATTATATGCTGCTTATATATGTGCAAGTCAAAAAAGTAGAGCATTCAGGGTATACTTTTATTCAGAAAGTGGGGAAAAGGGAGGATGGTCTGGGGGGAGGGAACAGTTCCTGAGTTGACTTTGAAACATTTATTGAGACCTTTTTTTTTTTTTGGTTGTTCTAGGAATTAAATCCAGGCTCTTGCATTTGCTAGGCAACTGTTGTATTCCTGAGCTGCATCCCTGATTCTTATTTTATCTGGGGACTGGCTCTTGGTAAATTGGCCAGGCTGGCCTAGAACTTGTAGTGCTCTTCCCTCAGTCTCAGGAATAGCTGGTGTTACAGATGTGCAGCACTGTACCCTGCCTGTTGAGGCTTTTTGATCTTGACCGGCCCTAGAACTCTAGAAAATGGATCATCCTAGAGACAGATGGTGCTGTCTTGGGCAGAGAGAGATGGGAGGCCCAGGCCAGGGCACAGATCCCTGTGAGAAGAACACAGGTGACAGTGGCCATGTGTTCTCCGCTGTACGCTGTATCCTGATGAATGTGCTTTTGGAGATTTAGAAACAAAACTGAGGTCCAGCCTTTGGAGAGTTCACTCTGTGGTCTGCAGGGGGTAATCAGTTAATGAAGATGATGAATATTACTTTATTATTCTGTAGAGCAGGCTACAAGAGTCTTTAGGAAAGATAGGGTTATGGAAATTTAGATTCCCCTGGGTGAGAGTCAGGACAAAGTTGATGAAGAAGTATATTGGAGTGAGGTTTAGAGCCTGGTAGTTTTAACTGAGAGAAGAGTTCACTGTTTCTCTGTAAACTCCTAAAGGCCCCTGCTTTTCCCTGTTGTAGACACACTGCTCAGTACCGAAATTGCATTTTGCACACTGCAGACCCTCTGAACATCTGTTAGATAAACTCCTGGTGGAAGGACTATTTCTGGAGGTCCCTGTGCTCAGCAGTTGTGAGAACTGCAGCTAAGACATCCCTAACCTACCTTGTTATCATGGCCTCAGAGGACAGTGCCCCAGGCCATGTGGTTGTATAGTCACTGTGCAGCATTTCAAATAAGAGCTGTCATTGTGGGTGCACCAGTTTTCCTCTAGCTACTCCTGTCTTTTTGGGCAGATGGTCTGACAGCTGGATAGAGGCGTATTTTTAGTTAGCTTCTCCTTCACTTGCAGAGTGGTTTTATCTATTTGTAGCTGCTGGGTTTTCTCCGTGTTGGGCCCAGCAGAAGGCTGCACTGGGTAATGAGCCCTCCTTGGGCTCAGAAGTAGGAAGTTGCATTTTAATATACTGTTGTCACTGGGTGAGAGAAAACATGGCTCCATTCTGTTCTCTTGCCAGGTGGAATTACTTTTTTCTTTATGATGGTTCCAAGGTGAAGGAGGAAGGAGATCCAACCAGAGCTGGCATTTGTTATTTTTATCCTTCCCAGGTAAGCCGCGTGGCATTTTCGTTTTCAGCATGGATCCCACTGCCTCCAGCTGGCAACTTTTTATAGTATAGGACGTAGCTTCAGACGGCTTCCTTTGGCCAGTCCAGGTGTTTGACATGTCTGCCATCTTCTTTTAAGATGTACTCTTTCTTCGTGTTCCAGTCTTAAAAGTCCCAGGCAGTTCAGGACTTCCCTCTTCTCCAGCTCTCTGTGACTATCATGATGTTTCGTCTGTCTCTCGTACCCTCCATTTTTGGGTCAGCTCTTTTTTTTTTTTTTTTTTTTTTGTACTGGCGATAACTTGTCCC